AGTTTGCTGCTGTCTGTAAACTTATAGCTAAATCTATTAGTCTACCTATCATATAACAATTAGCCCACGTAGAGTAAGACTAATAATATATTCAGCTACAAGCTGTAAAGATCTTTGGAGCCTATCTCTCAGTCTACACAGAGTATTATTGGTGTCTGGTGGAGACGGCATGTTACACCATCCCTCGTAGGTAGCTATCTAGCGCCGGGGCCACCAACCGCGGAGCCATGTGAATGATGAGTAGGATTCGTTGTAGCCGCCTGCTCCGCGAGACTGACACCCCTTGACTCCACACTCCACAGCGAGGTCTCCGTATGACTTGTTTACGATTCCATCAAATCACATGTTGGTTGAGCTCTCTTCAGTCATTGGTGTTTGGGACTTTCATTCCATGAAGGGCTTATTTAGATACACATGTATTCATTTGAATCCATATTTATTAGAGTAGATTAGTGTGAAAATTAGTTAATTTTTACCCAATCTACTTTTAACACACGTGGATCAATACGTTAGGTATTGGGTGGTAGTACGTGGAGCCCGGATCCATGTGTTGGGAAAGCTGTTGCCATCAGCTTGACGAAAGGTCGTCGTTTTCAATGAGCTTTCTCCTGTAAGCATCCCCTATTCCTAGTCCTAGTTGCTATTTCGTTGAGTGGTCCCTCTTATGGAGGACAGCAGTACAATAGGATAGAACGAGTGGTGTTGTTGCGGTTAAGGCTGGCAAAAAATAACCGACAACCAAAAACCGAACCGAAAGAACTGGAACCGAAACCGAAAGAATCGGAACCGAAAATTTTAGTTAGTTGTTCGGTTCTCAATTCTTAGAAACCGAATTAACTGATCAAATTTTGGTTCCTGGGCTCGGTTAACCGAAATAACCGAAGAAACCGAAATTCACAAATAAACCCAATAAACCTTACAACCTAGGCCTAATACCAACTTAACCCTAGATATAAAAGGTGGATGACACCCTCTCTAAGCCTCACACCCTCACATTTTTTAAAATCTCGGCATTGTGCTTTTTTAAAAATCTTTTTTCCTATTTTTTCTATTCTTTTTTTTCCTGCTTGTGTAAATCCTCGGTTAGTTCGGTCGGAACCGGAACCGAACCGAACTAACCGAAACCGATTTTGCTCGGTTCCAAGATTTGTGAAGAACCGATCAGTTCCTATTTGTAGAGAACCGAATTTATGTCATAAACTGAAGAACCAAACCGAAACCGATCGGTTAACCGAACGCCCAGGCCGAGTTGCGGTAGTGCTAGTCATCATTTGGTGTTTGTCCTTCAGCTTTTGTCTTCTTTGTGCAAGAGTGGCCTTGTATGCTTTCTTCCTAGTTTTGTCCTCTATGCATGTCTTGGGTGTACGTCTGTTTTGAAATCCACAGTTTGCCACATTTTAAATGATAAGTTCAGGCCGGCGATCGTCTGTCATAGTTGCTCTAAAAAAATTGGCTAGTTTACGTCAATGTCCCTGTCAATCCTCTTGGCTTGGTTTTCCAAAGCAATTGTAATCCATGGTTCCCCATGATTAATCATTTCTAATTTATTATATGCTACTCAATTAGGTGCAAGGCATTATTATGAGTACACACAAACTAGGTTCCTATGGCCCCTGATACCTCGCAATGCAATAGTGCAAACTACAAAAAGAGCAACTAGAAAACACCTCGACAAACGCAGGTGGTGGCTGCTTTCCACATGTGGGCCTGGAAGGCCACACAAGGCCCAACGTGCGACCAGGCTCCCCTCCAACTCCAAAGCTCTTGTAGCCTCAAACCAGTTCTCAGCTAATGGGCTGAAGCCCACGCACGCAATCTGTACGCGCTGCCGCCGCCGCGAGAGGGCTCGCTGGCGTTGCAGCCCCGCCCACGGATCCGCCCGGCAACTGGATGGCGCCGGGATGAGCGAGACTGGGAAAGCGAAATGCCGTCAGGGGATCACCGAGGCCCAGGGACGTTCAGGGCAGGCGGCTACACGTACGTTCTGTGTGATTGCATTGCATCCGCGGGCGGGCGGCTAATCGTGCTTTGTTTTGCAGTGTCGGGCGGTGGACCGGTGGACAGGTTCCGTTTCTCCCTCCTGCAGATTGCGAGCGGCGGCCGGCAGGGCGTAGTTGGATGGAATGTGGACACTTCACATGTCACATGTTGTTGCGTGATGCCAATTTTCTTTTGATTTATTTACTGTGACTTCCTCACATAATGTGAGTCACATTTGGTCTTCTGCTGAACTGAATACTGGTGGAGAGTTTAAGCTGCTGCAGGCTAGGAGGCTCTGGAGCTGGAATCCCTTTGCTGAATAACTTGTTGGTGCATGTGCATTACATCAGACCCGCTGGTAAAATAGTTCATGACAAATGCAACCCTTTTGTATGTTCCTTGATTCGCTGCATAAATGAACTCTGTTTTTGCTTTCATGAATCAACTCTACATAAATTATTGTAATTGAGGTTGTTATATCAGTAGCAATCTCATCTGTTTCATTTTAACACCTCTCTGTAGTTTTTTAACCTTCCTATTTCGCTACTGAAATTATTCCAGGATAGCAAAATACCGACATCATTCATCTTGTGCTAGTACCACAAATAGCTGAAACAATAGTTGGCAGATTCAACCATTCAGTCATTGATTCACTGCATTGTGCTCATTAGCCGTGCAGGTACAAAAACTGCAGTAGTATCTTAAACTCATCCTGGTATAACCTGAAAGTGTTGCAAGCTGTTCTTGACGAACTAGCTTAGTTTCTTTATAGATTTTTCGGTAATGCTGGGTATAGGGCGTCCGTCCGCCCGGACGGTGCCGATGGTGGGCCATGACATAGCCCAACGAACGCTCATCCACCCTTCCTCGCCCCCAACCGTTCTAAAAAAAAAAGAAAAAAAAAACCTTCTTATCCCTTCCGCTCCCTTCTCTCCACCACAACGCCTTGCGTCTGCCACTCCGTCCGTCCCTTGTCCTGAACACGGATGCCACTCTGCCTCACTGCTGCTACACGCCCCATCTAGCGCCGCTCGCTCGCCCCCACCGCGGGCGCTTCTTGCCCCTTCCCATCGTGCGCGCGCTCTGGTGATGGTGGTGCTCGCTCCGCCAGTCGCGCGCGCCGCCCGCTCGGCCGACGAGCCAAGACCGACGCTGGTACGGTGGTTGTGGTGTGCGCGCACGCCATTGGTGCTAGTGCGCCCTCCCGGCAGAGCCAAGCCTGTTGCTGGTGGCGGTGGGGCTCGCATGCTGCTGCTCACTGCCGGCTTCTACCCGGCTGCTGGAATCGACCAACGTCGGCCTTCCCCTCCACTATGTTGAATATGTATGTTTCAATTGTTTCCGACGTTTCAGATGTATGATGCAGTTGTTCCATTTTGATGTTGCAAAAGTAGATCGTGGGATATTGCACATGTTGCATATGTTGCAGTGTTTTCAGATGCATGTTGCAAGCATTTGTTCAAAATATTTCATCTATTTCTAGACGTATGTTGCAATTGTTTTTTATCTGGATGTTGCATATGTTTCACACAAATGTTGCAACAGTATGTTCCAAAATGTTTTAGCTGTTTCAGTCCTATGTTGCAGCAGGTGGTTTCATGTTGCAAGTTGCAAGTGTTATTTTTTGGATGTTTTATGTGTTCCACACATATGTTGCAAGTGCGAGTTCCAAGTGTTTCATCTGTTTTCAGACGTATGTTGCATTCAAAAAAAATTTCATGTTGCAAGTGTTTTATGTTGTTCGGCTAGGGGCGAGCCAGGGGTAAGGCGGACCATGCTCGTGGCGCGCCGGGAGGGGGGGGGCTGGGGGGCGGACGGGGCTCGGTCTGCAGGCCACGCCGTGTCCACAGCTCTCGAGTGTGCCCTGCCATGGAGAGAGAGGAGCGGATCTGGGAATGACCGGTGAGTATGAGATATGGGGGCGGAGTCTTGTGGCGTGGGGTAGGGTGAAGCCGGACAAGGGTGGGGCGACGGAGGACTGGGGCGGGCTGCACTGGACGTCCGGGCGCTAGCCACGCCGTAGAATTTTCTATGTTAGCTTATCTTACCGAGTTTGTAGTGCAATTTCTTTGATTCCTTATAAATTCTTTCCTCATGAGTTGGTACTTTGGTAAATTACTTCTGACTGATGTTGTTTTTATGAGAAATTAAGATGTTGTGCTACTTTCTTATACCAAATTTCCTAATTCGTATGTATTTTACAAAAAATCTCTTAACTGGAATGGAACAAAGACAAGACAAGGAACAACAATAATATCCATCTTTTGTGTTTGGGGGAGTTAAATTCCTTGAACGAGATTCAGCATTGCAAACTTTGTGCTACTTTCTTATACCAAATTTCCTAATTGGTATGTATTTTACAAAAAATCTCTGATTCTTAATCTCTTAACTGGAATGGAACAAAGACAAGACAAGGAACAAATTTCCTAATTGCCTTGTTGGCTCATTTGTCTGTACTAATTCCCAGTGTATAATGGATGCTACATGTACGGCCGAGTTCTTCACTCAAAATTATGAAATTTACCAAAACTCAAACCTACTATATAATGTACTCTTTCTGTAATGTAAGTAGTTATAGCTAGCTCTCCTGGTCTTGCTTGCTTTTGATAAATTGGGGTTTATTTGCTTCAGTTACGTTGGAGATCGAGAAGCTAGCTTTGAAGACTTGCGGTTTTCTTTGTCTTTGATGACTCCAATCCTGGTGCATATGCATGTATTACTGAGCAATCAGTCGGCCAGATGGTCGTGAGTCGTGATGAGCTTCCAGCTGATTTCTGTGCTTGACCTGTTACTTAATAGGGAACTGTAGTGTATTAGTGATGATATGATTTTTTTTTTCAAATATATAGCAGAGTATACTTAGCCCAAAACGCGGACAGCCGGCCAGGGGAAAACCAGGGCCAGCAGTAGCAAGCTAGCCCCACCAATATAACCGAGCATTTTTGGCAGAAAAGATCTTTCTCACAGGGCTATGAAGTTTTACTGGAAGCAGAGTATACTTGTTTCAACTAGTTGTAATTTTATAGTAGCATAATGTAGTAGCCAAGAGAAAAGCATGAACGGGTACGTTCACAATCCATATGATTACAAGAAAATGAATGGTTCCAGTAATCCAGCTCAACAATCCCACGACGAACGACAGCTGGGGTTTTCGGGACCATGATCACCTTCTCCATGGGGATGAAGTCCGGGTGGACGCACCACCCAGCAACGACGTACTCCCGCCGGTCCTCTCCGGTGGTGGTCACCGGAGCCTCCTCGAGCTTCGCACAGGATGACCCCAGTATGCGCTGTACATGGGCAGGCAGCCCGGACAAGCCGACGAGCACCTTGTACTTGAGAGCTCCGGCGGACGCCCTGGACTGGCGCCACCAGCGCTTCCAGACCAGGAAGAAGGGTGTCCCGATCGGAACCGGACCGCGCAGAACGTCCTCCAGATCGTGGCGAGAGTTGAACTTGACGAGGAAGTCCTCCGGCGCATAGCAACTGATGGAGAACGCGTCGTCCGGGATTCTGTAGAACAAAGTGAGCTGGTGGCGCACATCCGCGATCGTGACCGTGGGGCGGCTGCCACCAACCAGGGCCACAAGCGCCAGAGACGAGAGAGCGTCATCGGCTGCCTGGAGCTCCACAGACCGGGGGATAACGACGATCTCCAACCCTGGGCGGCAGGAGTGGTGGCCTGGAGGAGGCGGCGTGCCCAGTGGCGACATTGGCGGTGTCGGTCCACGCGGCGGGGACGGAGAGCGACGTGGCAGGGTCGGATCACGCGGCGATGATGGTGTGCGGTGTGGCGAGCCGAAGTGCTCACTGCACACCGGCGGCACCGATGTCTCCCGGCCAGTGGAGCACTCCCGGACACCGTGTCAGCAGAAGCCGACGATCCCCGAACCGCGTGACGCCGAAGACGACGGCTTGGGCGCTCCCTGGGCCGGAATGCGGCTTGGTGCCCAGGCGAGCGGCCGCGCTTGCACGAGCAGTCTGCCTTTACGTGGCCTCCGTCGAGGCAGTTGAAGCAGAACCCCACACAAGAGCCGGCAGCACCGGGCCGCGTGGCTTGGGCGGCGCGCGCCTTCGCCAGCGACGGCGGCTCTGGACGAGGGTGAAGCCATCCTTTTCGATAGGCGCACCCTCACGAGGAATATGCAGGCGGGGGGACGAGGCCGACTCCCTGGCCGCTGACGCGGAGGGGTGGCAGCGGCGACCCCCCACCTGGGGAACTTGGGGACGACATCCTAGGAAGACGCGGAGGAGCTGCTGTGGGAGAGGGGGGGAAGGTGGATGGCAGAGCCGAAGGGGCAGCTGGCGTTGTCTGGGAGGTGGACGGCGATGCCGGAGTGACCACCGGCGTTTTGGAAGGTGGACGCCAGGGCCGGAGTGGCCACCGCGCGGGACTAGCGGGGGGGAGCGGATGGCTTCTTAGGAGAATTTCCTCTTCACCTGACTATATATGTTTTGCTGACTTGCCCTGCGCGCCTTGTCGTTGGTGCATTTTGCTATAATGGATGCTACATTGTAACGACCGGGCACTTCACTCAAATGTACGAAATTCGCCAAAACTCGAATCTATCTACCATGTTAGTTGATTGATGGTAACTCTTTCTGCAAACTGAGTAATCACCAAAGGTCGGCTGGTTTTGCTTGCTTTGAAGACTTGTGGTTTTCTTTGTCTTTGATGACTCGAATGTGATCATGTCTTTGATCCTGGTGCATGCATGTATATCTCAGCAGTCAGTCAGATTCCCGTGAGGTGCGTCGAGCTTCCAGCTGATTTATGTGCTTGATCTGTTACTTAACTGGGATTAGTGATGTGGCATGATTTAACTTTTGAAATAGTGTATTAAGTATATATAATCCAAGAAGCGGACAGCTTAGGCGACAATCAGGGCCAGGAATAGGCCTAGCTAGCCCACCAATGTAACGAAGCATTCTTGACAGAAAAATAGAGCATTCTCACAAACAGAGGTATAAAGTTCAACTAGCTAATAATTTTACTAGCATAGCATAACGTAGCAATAACCAAGAGAGAAGCATGAATCGGTACATTTACAATCCATATATATGATGATTATTATTACAAGAAATAAAATGAGCTGGCAGATGCATGGTTCCACCTCAACAATCCCACGCCACACCTCAGGTGATGCTGCAGGTACGTTAGAGAAACTAGCCACAGTGTGTAGAACCCAGCCCGGATCGATAGATGGGACCCGCGGTGGGGAAAAGTCATCATCTCTCAACCGTTCGTTTCTTTCGTTGCATTTCTTTTTTCGCTGGGAGCAGGTTCGATACAAAGAACTCGGGTCTATCGACTCATCCTCGCAGTGTATCGACCTAGGTACGAGGCGCGCATTCATGGCATCGAACCAGCCTCGACCCCCACACTGCTGATGCTCTTAAGAACCAACAGCATGCGTCTACAGGATTATCAAGTCTGAAAAATAAATAAATAAATTTAACAAACAGTTCGCTTGTTGTTTTTAGCCAGCTCAAATCAACAAGCCAACGGTCATTTTCCTCTCACAGAAAACCAGCACTAGCCAGCTCAAACCAGCCCAGAAAACCAACCAATGTAAAATGAGCAGGCTAAAAGTGTCAACAAATGAACAGCCTGCTCGGCACTCACAAATGAAACGTACGGTCGTACGTGTTCACTTTGAGCATCCATATATTATTACAAAGCAAATGAGCCGCTGACTCAACAAGCCCACACCATGAAATACTGGTGGGAGTCAAAGTCAATGCATGACGATGAGAAACAAATACAAAGGTCAGGTCGGAGGCTCGGAGCCAATGGAGGAGGAGGAGGCAGGCTGGTGGTGGTGAAAGCCCGGGAAACTCCTAAATCCACTACGTGCCTGGACGCCTGGTGCCTCAGTACAAAACAAAATGGATGCACGTCAGCCAGTTAAGACACCCTGTCCAGTCCACAACAACCAAAAAGCACGGCCTGTTAGCTGGTAGAGGCCTTGTTTAGATTGTAAAATTTTTGTAATCTGGACATGAACATATCGCGTTTGTTTGTATTTGACAAACTTTGTCCGATCATGGACTAACTAGGCTCAAAAGATTCGTCTCGTAATTTACAATTAAATGTATGCGATTAGTTATTTTTTTACCTATATTTAATGCTCTATACATGCGTCAAAAATTAATGTGATGAAAAAAAGTGAAAAAAACTTAGAATTTAGAGATGATCTAAACAAGACCTGATATACAGGCATGCTACTCGTAATATTTACGTCTAGCTAGCTTATATAGTAGCACTAATTGCTTTTGCCACGTGCATGCTCGTATCGTAATTAATGAAGTGGGATGAAAGCGTTACATACCAGCTTGCATTCGTCTTTCAAGTGCCGCCGTTGCTCACATCATCATCCTCCTCCCGCTCATCATCTTTAATTGTTGGGCCTTGTTTAGATGTCATCCAAATTCTAAATTTTTTTACTCTCTCTCCATCACATTAATTTTTAACCGTTTGCATGGATTATTAAATATAGCTAAAAAAATAACTAATTACACAGTTTAGTTGAAAATCACAAGATGAATCTTTTGAGCCTAGTTGGTCCACGATTGGACAATATTTGTCAAATATGACGAAAAGTGGTACTATTTATCGGGTTCACTTTTTTTTCACCATCTAAACGAGGCCTTGAGTCCTCAAATAGCCACTGTAAATCGGCATCATACTTGATGTTGGCTACACGTCCACCTGGGTGCATGTCTATGGCGTTCCTCAACGCGGACTCTGCAGCTCTTCTGTTGGATTCCCTGGCATCCGCGCCCCCAATACATACGTAGATTTCCCTGAGGCTTGACAGGTGCTCGGTTCCAGTAGGTGCAGCGCCATACCTATCCCACCCCCTGGCATTAAAACGTAGCTCGAGCTTAATTTCAAGCTTGGGCATTGCCCCTGCCACAAAGGCCAGGCATGATATCCATGGATGATGATCTTATCTCCAGGTTGATAACTGAGGGCAGCCGTGCAAGAATTCCAACATCTTCCTCAAGCACTTGCTTAACAAAAAGACGCAGGTCATAGAGGTTATGGAGTTGGATGATCCATCCAGGAACCCTTGAGAACTTGTGTCCATTGAATATCTGGAGATGACGGAAAGAAGCGGTGTTGAACTCAACGCATCAATGTAGAGATTGTTGTCACAATAAATTTTCATATATAGATATTTGAGGCTGCAAATCTTTCCAAGGCAAGTCTGCAGAACTTCCCTGCCTTTCTCCACTATCTCACCATTTGCCTTTTCACCAAAATTACATATGATTTTAAGATTGGTCAAATTGGTCAGTTCCCCCAGACCCTTGATACTGTTTGGTGAGTTACGTAAATTGAAGTAGTGTAGAGTACGAAAGGATTTCATGTTATCGATCCCGTTTGGCAATATTATGTCATATGGAATAATCAGATGCGATAACCGGCTCAAATGAACTATATCCGATGGTAGTTCACGAAATGATTGTGCCCTAGACAATTTTATAGTAGCATTGATTTCAAATGTTTCCAATTGCTGCATACTCCCAATTTTACTAGGTAACACCACCTCATGACCTTTTGCTACAATCTTTAAATATCTCAACTGAAGTAGATGATGTATCTCAGTAAAGTCTAGTAACAATGGTGGATGGGACTGTACTGTAATTTCAATTCCGAGAACACGGAGATACTTGAACAGTTGAAAAGGAGGTAAATATGAAGAGGTTCCAAATATTGCCAGTGTTCTTGTTTGGGATAGCTGGACACATCCTGCAACCCTATCACCTACTGTACCACCCAGGTTGAGAGAGAGTCGATGAACCTTGTCTTGTTGTCCTGTCATGTCTTGTATATCATCTATTACAGTGACAAAATTCTCTTCTTGGGATTTATGGAGGATAAGATCAAGCATCATATCATGTACCTTGCAAGACATCACCTCACCATTGCAGTTTGTATCTGCAGGCTGAATCAAACTCCTATTAATAAGCTCATTAAAATAGCTCTTTGCAATATCCTCAAGATCCATCCCACGAACTTTACATATAAAACCTTCAGCTATCCATCGCCTTGTCAAATCATTCTTTTCAATTGTGTAGTCCTTGGGATAAATACCTAAATATAGCATGCAAGTCTTCAAATAATGAGGAAGATTTATATAGCTGAGATTCAGTATCTGTCTCATGCTTTCCAAGCTAGGGCTCATTTCAAAGTTGGAGCCCAGCCTGTCCCTTACATGTTCCCAGTTCTCCTTTAGTTTGCTTGGCTGACTGGCTATTAGGCTAGATGTTGTGATGATTGCAAGTGGTAAACCACCACATTTTTTTCAAAATTTGAGCAGATACTTCCTTCAAATATGGAGGGCAACCATCCTCTGAACCAAAATTCTTTTGAAGAATAAACTCCTTGAGTCCTGGTCACTAAGTGCCTTCATCTTGTAAACACATTCAATGTTCTTAGTGCAGCATCCTCTAGCCACAGTTTCAATTCGAGTAGTTATTAATACTCTGCTACCATTAATGCTCTCTGGAAGAGCACATCTGATGATATCCCATGCAAAAGCCTCCCAGATGTCATCAATTATGATTAAGTACCTGACATATATAAAAGCATATGGAGTATAGCAAACCATTAGGATAGCGTAAAAGCATCCTCACTATAAACATACATTAACCAGGATATAAGAATACAATAGGGACACGCATAAACTAGTCAATCATAAGAAAACAAGGTGAAAAGAAAAAATACAGACAAATCAACATGTTTAGTTGTTGATTACATAATACTAGCATGCTAAATAAGAATGACATCAAATTAGAGCAAACTAAATCGCAAAACAAACCTTACTAAGCATACAATTATTTCTAGGCGGCATACCTCTGTTTTAGAAGAAATTTTCGGAGCACACTAATGAATTCAGATTCCTTCCCACAATTCCATGTTGGTGTCCATAGGAGCTACAAAGCCAACTTGAGATAGCATAGTTCCGAAGCTTCCTGATGTTTGTTTTTTGGGACACAGACACAAAGGCACGGCACTGAAACTCACCCTGAAGCTTGCAATAAACCTCATTTGCAAGGGTAGTTTTCCTAGGCCTCCAAATCCAACTATAGAGAGCACCTTTAGCTCATTCTCTCCACCCATCAACTGAATTAGTTCATCCCTGGGGCCATCCATACCAACAAGGCCTGATGCTTCTGCGTACATTGCTAACAACCGAATATCAATGATTGTGTTGACTGACTTAGAGGTAACACCATCAGTCTTCTGGTACCTCTTGCGCCGCTCCTGCGCCTGCACAACACGGACCTTAAGGCCTTCAAACTCTTTGGCGATGTCATGCCGAATGTTCATGGTTGTCAACAACTTCGTGCTCCTATTTATGAAACCCATGAATCCGCGTGGCTTGCTGCTTGAATTGCGTTCCACACGGAGCATGAACTCACTGATACTATCTTCGATGTCATAAGACAGCTCACGTACCTCCTTGGCCCAGCACTTGTCCTGTTCATCAGGCTGTTCTGTATCTGAGATCTTCTTTAGGAACCTATGCATGCTCTCAAGCTCAGCTTTGAGGAACAAGATCTGCCCCTTAGCTTCTTTGAGCAGCTTGTACTCAGCTGTGAGCAAATCACCAAGCTTTGCTATCAGGGAGCCCATAGCTCCATGCGATGCGGTCACCACGGCAGCCTCCATAGATAACCATGCCTTTCCTTTCTTTGCTGGCTCTCACTTTGACAGTGCGTGTGTAGTCTTATTTCTAGTCCTGAAAGAAAACAACGAAAGCAACATATTTAGATGTTTTTCTTTATCCATCACGAGTGACAATTCTAGTAGTCGATGTTGACGACTTGTAGATCCGCTTTCTTTTCTTCAGTGTGCCCAGATTCAATGAATTGAACAGAAGCTCCACTTGTTTTACACGGTGCAGTTTTCTTTGGAGTGCAAACCGAATCAAGAACAAGAAAGAAGAGAGTGTGATCCATACCATATATACGGCGTACGAAGCCAGCAGGAGAGAGATCGAGAACGACAGGAATGTTGCTGTCCGGCCAAGTTTTCCTTCAAACTGAAGCCAAACCTTGTTGGAGATGAGAAGTGGCAGGTACAGAAGTGAAAGCATGCAGGAGCGCCGGGCCGTGGAAGTGCAGGCTTGGGTGAAAGCAATGGCGAAGGGAGGGCAGGTGTGCCTGGAGTACTGGCGCCACTGAGTGCGTGGTTCCAAATGCTAGATCTGCAAATGAAGCTCAGGGTTTGATAGATCGAACTATGCAAACCCTCTGTAACTGCCCGCAGTTTCTCAGAAAACCACCTCTTCAGTCGCAATATTTTCGGTTCCCTTTATTTGTATGCGAGTCCTTTGTATGGGGACTGGGATACAATATACTAGGACAATGTACACAATACTGCACAAGACTCGTTTGGGACGAACGACAAGCAAGATGGCATACAATAATTGGGTGCTTCGTTGCGCGCTTCAGGTCTTGAGCTGCGATCCCATGTGGCCATGCATCTGTCTCAAACGTTGTTTTGTGTTGCTTCCCACGTGATTACACGTGACCATAGGGAACAGAGGGATCTGATCGAGGCGGTGGCCCGGTTTAATTAATTTCCCCAGAGATAGATTCCTCTTGTTGTGGCAAATGTTATCTAATCCCAGTTAACATATATTGGAGCAAAGGATGCCCTACCATTGTATGACAATACCATACCATGTCAACAAGTCTATCTTCAAAATTGAATTTGAGTTTTTGCTGTGCAGGGCAAAGAAGAAATACTTCCCAAAAAATTCAGGAATATGGATTAAGCTTAGACTAAATAAGAGAGCTCGAGTGTATTCTATTTTCTCTCTTCTTCTTCCCTTTTAGTTCCCTAATGGCTGCCCCTAGCCCCTAGCTCATCTCTTTTGTACTGAACCTTTGTTTTCTTTAATATATTTTCAGTAGGGCTCCCTGCCCTCCTGTTTGTTCAAAAAAAAAAAACAAGTCAAAAGTATCTTGCTTTGCGTTTATTTTTTGTTTGCAGAGGATAGATCTCGACTGAATGGCAGACCACAATCTAAACATTACTACACTACTACAAATAGGATTTTAGGAAAAACTCGTCAGTCGCCAATAGAAATAGTTGCATAAAGATAACTTGTAACTTTTTTATATGAACTAAGATGAAGATGAACTTTATATCAAATTTGCAGATTTTGATGTGATTTACAACTTTGTAGTTGATAAGTTTTTATTTGGAACCTCGGATGTTGACATGGACATACCAAATTTGCACTTCTCAAATCGACATTCTATTTGACAAGTTTTTATTTTATTTTAAGTTGGTTAGAGTCCAAGTATATGTTGAAATTTTCTAGATTTTGAAATTTTAAATTTAGAATTTACAAACGACCTAGAATGTTCACATAGTTAATGCCAAAGTTGTAGTGGTTGACCCAATCTACAAGTTTGTGGTTGATAAGTTCTTTATTTGAAGTTAGCTAGAGCCTCAAATATTTGCTTTAAGTTCTCATATTTTTGAGATTTGAATTTTTGAAACTTCCAAACTATCTCGGATGGAGACACGATTTATACCAAAGTAGTAGTGCTTGACGAGCTTTAAAACTTTGTAGCTAAAACTTTTTTAATTAAAATTAATTATTCAGTGGCCAAAAAATTCACTACATCGCAACACCTCTTTTCACGGAAGGGGCCCATAGTCCAATCAAACAGTTTTTTGGTTGGGCATACAAAACACTGCTGGCAGTTAAGTTGGTAATTGGTGCCCAATATATTAAGTTGTTTAATAAATAAAATATACAAATACGACATATCGAGGAATAAATTGATTGGGTACATGTACAGTAAATTCGTAACGAGGTCCATCTTCAATAAAAAGTTAGCATGCATGTGTGCCACGACATCACGAGAAAAAACTGTCATTCTTCTTGCGAAACTCCACCTTGAGCACAGCCTCAGCGTCGTCGTCCTCCTGCTCCTCCTCCCACTCTTCGTCGTCGTCGTCGCCACAGGTACGCTCGTGGATGACACGGAAGAAGCACGTGTCAGCAACCCATCTGGTATAGTTTAAATTCGTTGGAGACCTCATCTGGAACGAGCACGTCAAGATGAATGTAATGATGTATATATATCACTACTATAGAATTGACTTTCAGTACCGACAGTGATAAAACCAACCGATCACGATATTCGGGTCATCACCGCCGGTTCATATCAATTGTCGATTTTAGCCAAGAACCAGCAATGATATTAGATCATCACTGCCGGTTCAAGTCACGAACCTTGGTGATATGCTGCACAAAAAATTTCATAACTTTCTCATATGATGTCCGATGAAGACAAACTTTATGCCAAAGTTGTAGTATTCAACGAGATCTACAACTTTGTAGTTAAAACTTTTTGATTTGAGATAGTTTGGAAGTCTAAATATACACCACAAGATTTTATAGAGTTAATATCAAAGAATTCCATATATTTATAGTCATAAGTGAGTGTGTAGTGGTAGTTAAGGATCTTTGATGGAGAAGTGACCAAAGCAAAAGTTGTAGATCTCTAAATGTTATGCAACATTGTAGTTCACAAGTTTTTATTTGAAGTCGTTATGATGTCCCTCTATTTGATTCGCATGATTTCATAGAAGTTAATATCAACTAAAGCCATATGTCCCATTGTCATAAGTGAGAGTGTCGTGGTATTTAAGAATCTCAAATCAAGAAATGACCAAGACAAAAGTTGTAGATCTCGAAAAGTTATACGACTTTGCAGTTGACAACTTTTTTATTTTAAATCATCTATCTAACGAAAATTACGTTTGTTTACTCAAATTCAAAATTCGAATTTTTCAAACAACCTCGGATGAAGAAACGCCCAATACAAAAGTTGTAGATATTCAAAGTTGTGCAACTTCGTAGTTGATAACTTTTTCATTTGAAATCATCTATCCAAGAAAAATTATGATTGAATTTTCTCACATTTGAAATTCAAATTCTTCGAATGACCTCGGATGGATAAATGACCAAAACCAAAATTGTAGATCTTAAAAAGTTATAAAACTTTGTAGTTTACAATTTTTTATTTAAATTCGTTTAGGATCCTAAATATTCATTTCAAACCCGAGTGGCATAAAATGGGAGAACAAATATCCCATATGGACACAAGCGTCTTACATATGGAGTGGTTAGGCGACGGACACGTGATGCGAAGGTTGGGGATTTGAGCGCCGTGGCCATGAAGCTCTCGTTTTCCGCGCGAAAAATTGCGTGATGTGTGGCTATCCAGTGGGTCCCTCCTAGTATTAAAAAAATGCCTATTTTTCAATTTGTTTTTTTTAGGTTTTATGGAAACCAAATCACTGCCGCTTCTAAAATCGGTACTGATGAGCCCCCTCATCACTGCCAATATGATTGTGCCGGTTCAAAAAACTGGCACCGATGGACTTTTTGAACCGGCAGTGATTGGAAATCTGTAGTAGTTATGTAGGTTTGGGCGGCTGAGTTATAATAGATTTAGGTTTTATTATTTTTAGAATATTTTTTGTTAAAATTTTTTCATAAAAGCCCAGTAGTGTTTAAGACAAAAAAAAAGTTATTCCAAACCTCCAAAAATTCAGGGAAAAAATCTTGGACACATTTTGGAATATCATAAACCCAAGTAAAGTATTTACAGCTCATGAAAAAGAATTTTGGAGCATAAAAAAATTAGATTTTCCTATAGAAAAAATAGTAATAGGTTCTAGAAAAACGTACAAAATTCCTTGGGAACATTAGTTGATGACTAAATGCATCTAAAACATTTTGGCACTCATAAAGCAGAAGATGCACCTAGCATGAATGCAACAAACTTACCTTAGGATATATAGTTAATTTGGGAAAGTTGTTGAAAGCCATTCTTTTTTAGATAAAGGTGAATTAATTTGACTTCATCTCCTTTAACCAAGACAATGAGACCAATTTTACATATGTTGAGCAACACATTTAATCAAACCCACTCAAATATCACTAGCCATGATGTCCAACGATTGACTGGACCACCTGTCAATAACAATGTCTTATTTGATCTACCCGTTTGTTTGTGCCAATCATGAAAGATATCCATCACATTCAAAGGGTATTTGAGACCCAAAACAAGATGTATCCTTTTCACACAGGAACCGAGCATACAGATACTCGAATAAGAGGTGTTGAATAGTTTCATCCCTATTACAAGACACACAAGATTTGTTCCTCTTTAATTAATAAATTATGTATAGTTAAAATCAACCCTCTTGACGAACCATAGAAAATTTGTAATTTTGAGTGGTATACTTAAACGCCAAATATCATGTGAGACTTTAATGCATGTATTCACAAGGAGTTTATAAATGAAATTTATTGTGAACTCGACACTATTTTTAAGGAGCCAAAGGAACCTATCTCATCCAACTTTGTAAGCTAATGTTCATGACTCTTGCTACTAAGTGAGCGCTTGGTATAGCTTCTGAAACAGCTCTGGGAGCTACATATCACCTAACTGCTCTCCCACACAACCGCTGCTTCATGTATGGAGTCCTAGGAATACCGCTCACTGGAGCTGTTTTTGAAAGAGTGATTGGAATGAGTTGTTGTATTCCATATTGTGTATGGGTACATATATAGGCAATGGGTAGTACATGCAAGCCAACCACCCAAGCGCACAAGTATAGGGCGACCATTGCTATATTTACATCATGCTAATACTCCCCGTAGTCTTATCGGGAGCACGCGAACATTAAGATTGGATCGAAACTCTTGAAATACAGATGTTGGGAGACCCTTGGTGAAGATATCGGCGTACTAGGATGTCGAGGGACATGGAGAACTCGAACATGACCGAGGGGCGACACGCTCTCGAACAAAGTGGAGATCAATCTCAACGTGCTTCATGCGATCGATGTGCATCGGATTGGTGGAGAGGTAGGTAAGCGACAGCAGCGTTGTGGCAATAAACCAGGGTGGCATGATGAAGATGGTGGCGAAGCTCGACAAGTAATTGATGAAGTCATGTAGCTTCAGCGACACCATTGGCCACGGCTCGATACTCGGCCTCTACGCTAGACCGGGAGACTATGTGCTGATGCTTGGAAGACCAGGACACCAGATTGTCATCGAGGAACACCGCGTAGCCAGAGGTCGAACGGCGAGTGTCAAGGGAGCCGGCCTAGTCCGCATCAATGTAAACAACAAGCTCTGTAGGTGGAGAGCGATGCAGAGTCAAGCCAAGAAAAAGAGTACCCTGTAAGTACCGTAGTATCTGCTTGAGAGTAGCAAGGCGCTGGTCACGTGGATCATGCATGTAGAGACATATCTCTTTGGACGGCATAGGCAATATCTCGGACGAGTGAAAGTTAGATATCGTAGTGCACCACCAAACCGTGATCTTGAGTAGAGTCGAGAAGCTGGAGGACCGTCGGCGGACAACTTGAGTGGTCGACGGAGTGCCGCAAGGCTTGCAAGCACTCACCCCATCGCGTCCAAGATGTCCGCAGTATACCGTCGTTGAGAGAGCAAAAGGCCATCATCGCAGCGGGCGACGGAGACACCAATGAAGTGATGGAGCTGTCCCATGTCGGTCATAGCAAACTCACGCTGAAGGGCTGCAACAATATGTTGAAGAAACCTAGATGAGGAGGCGGTTAGAACAATATCATCAACATAGAGCAGCAGATATGCAGTGTCTGATCCCCGGTGATTAGCGTAGGTGCTTTGCGAAGTGCTTAGTTTAGTTAGACCACGCTCATATACGCTTGCTCTAGGCTTAGGTCTAGTTGCTAGTGAGGTTTGCATACCTCTTGACCAAAGGTTCTTACGCCCACTGTGCTTGTACTCGGCAGGGCTTGTAAGTCTTGCGAGACCATACCAATCGTGTTTGTGGTGTGGCCGCCACCATGTATGGAGGGAACAAGGCCCGTGGCGTTTCGGCTGAAAGCTTGATAGCGAAGACGGCGGGGAGCGGTCCGAGAGAGGTACACCAGAGACCAACTTGTGCGTGGGGAAGGCGCGGGGCTATCCACGGAGTTACCCGACCGGGAGCTTAGCCCTTGTGAGGGATTCCTTGCGAGGGGCTCCAATGGGGATTAGGGGGAAGCTTGCGTGCTTCTCGATACCTCGGTAAAAATACCAGAGTCATTGTTGGGAGTTTGCATCTCTACCTCATTTTTAGCTTCTGCATTTTTATTGTAATCTTGCAGCCTGTTCGCTTGCTCGTAAACGATTGTAAATTTCCAACCGGGAACATTATTTTTCTCTCATACCAAACCAGCTAGCAGTAAATAATCCATGATACGATACGGCCTCCCGAACAGGCTGTTGGTTATGTGCTTTACCATTCCTAGCTTAGTTGATAGGCTAGTTCATAAGGTTGGAACCTAGGTTGCATAACTCTTTTACAGTAGAGACAGCAACACACCTAGCAAAACCTTAGTTGCACATTTAGATAGATTACTTTCTTGCATAGGTTTTGACTAGGTGGAATTAGAGGCCATAATTAGAAGTAGAATTTAAGTTGCCTAATTCACCACCCTCTTAGACGTCACGGTCCTTACACGCTGGACGCACTCTTCCCGGACGGTGGAAAAGGCTCGTCCAGGCAGCCGCGAAGACGCAATGCCACCTTCTAGGTCGCACCGCTGCGTCGGATTTGGTTGTTTTCTATTTATGTAACATCTAAACTAGAGACATTTCGCTAGGATGGTCCAGCTACGACTGTTTTTAGGTCGACCTCCTTCGGCGCTCGATAGAGACGCGTTGTCTGTATGTTTAAAATCTTCTTCTTAATACAATGATACCCAAATATCTTGCGTATTCGAGAAAAAAATAAGATGGAGGTCCGTATTACAGGGGATGGTCTCTCCACACTATTACTGATATAAACATAAACAAAGATAGAGGTCTATATGAATATCAACTTTATTGGTTTGATTTTCTAGCAAGGTGGCAGGCTTTATGGCACAGCCTCCCAACAGTGCAGCAACGTAACGGTGGCTTGCTCCAGCAAGGCAGCGCCCAGTAGATTTGTGGTCGTGGTGGAACCAATTTTTTTGGTTGATCATGTTAAAGCATGGAACAGTGGACAAGGACAGGAAGAATGAGAGGAGGAAGAGAGTGTGTGAAGATGAGTTGGAATGCACAAAGATATTACTCCCATTAGCATTGATATGGTCATCAGTCATCACACACAGAATCTGACCCTTCTTTTCTTTCCAACATCTTTTCATGGCTGACCAATGGGCCGCAGCCCTTACAGATTGAACTTATTAATTCTACCAATACTATATTCTAATCCTAAAGTTCCACTAATGGAGAACAGGGGGACGCCCTTTACGCAATACCAATGCAACCATAAACAAAACTGTCAGGTCCATGTGAACATCAATCAATTGTATTGGTATTCGTAAAGTGCAATGTCGTGCTGTCTGGTCGGCCACAATCAGCATTTTCATTTTGTGCCAGTCGAATGCAGAGAACTCTTAATCATGCCAACTAATGCTTATGATGGTGATTTACAAGGTAATCGTACAAACGAAGCCACTATATTAATAAAGCTCCGAAGCTAGCAGGAGCGGATTTAATAATTAAGATTATGTAAGCGAGCCATGAAATGTCTTGCATGTGTACGCGTAACCGAGTAGAAACTGACGAACATAACGTTTAGACTCTGCACCTAACAACTCCTGCTAGTTACTCGGTTAATTAGTTCGCTCGACTTGATGCATCCACATAAAAAAAATATATTTGATATGTAGAGAATCTCTCAAATTTCAGTAGGACACATGTATGAGGAGTAGTTACCAACCCGGCTGCTAGCTGCAAGCGAGTGCTTACCGACGACGCCAGGGGCGGGGAAGGCGGCAAGCAGGGACCGAGAGGATGCAGCGGGGCACGGCAAGGAGGAAGAGGAGCCAGAGACGGCGGTGGCGGTGGTCGGCCGGTGAGTGCGCGGCGGCGTCACTCCTCCCTCTTCCTCCTCCGAGAGCGACGACGGAATGACTAGAAAGCCCAGCACGGCCCGAAAAATGGACAGCCTAGGCCAAAATCAGGCAGGGCCAGCAGCCCAGCATTACGTGCAGGCCCACCAGATCTTTTTTTCCCCTGAAGGGAAGTGGCAGAAGCTAGGCCCACTAGATCCAGCCGGATGACTTCGAGCATTCGATTCCAAATGCGAGAGGGCAGTCAGTTAAAATATATTGACCGGAAACAGAGTACACTTGTTTCATTTAGTCTATTTACAAAACATGTTAAGCCTGGTTAAATTTCTGTCTATTAGTATTATTTTTTGAACAAGTTCAGTGAATTGTTGTAGATAGAAAAGAGAAAAACACAAGCCCAACTGAACTTCGGATCCATGGAAACAAATGGCTCTGTTAGAGCCTCAGCAGAAGCCTCGAGCAAGTATATGTGAATAACACTGTGCTAATTCATCCCGGCTCCAAAACAAATCACATGTTCAAAAAGCAGTATGTTGTTTGTTGATGGAAAACCCCACAATACAAGGATTGAGAGAACAGTCAACAACTCAAGCATATATAGTAGGACCAAATTCTGCTGGACAAAAATCCAATAGCAAGTGGATTTAATGAATTTAGAGTATATATAACTTTTGCATAAAGAAATGATCGGCACGTTCAGCCTCCGTGTTACTTATTACAACAAATTGAGCCAGTAAGGCAAGAAGCAGCTGGTCCCTAGTCCCCTAATAGTAACTCAACAAGTCCAAAGCCCCAAACCAACAGCAATCAGCATGCATCTACACATATTATCAAGTCTGAAGTAAAAATAGTAGTGATAATTCTCGAGACAACAGCCTGCTCTGCAGCTGGATCCATGTCGTAACCATATGCTGGAGACGGTGGTGCCAGCTGATGAACGCAGAGAGAATGCAAAGATGCTTCAACATCGACACCACCCGTGTGGGTATGAGTCCTGCCCACTAATATCGACGTTAGTTATTAACATGGTAAGAGAGTATACACACACAAAAAAAAACGGGGGTAGCTAGGAAACAATACTAATTAATTAAATATGACGTACCGAAGTAATAATATTAATTAAATATGATATATGTATAACAGCTGGCGCAAACATAAGGTAAAAAGACTCTGTAGTCTGTACCTGGCCTTGACCTTAATTTATATCAGGCACTGCTATACTATAACCAAAACTCCCGCCCACCAGTTTGATGTTGGATACAGGGTGACCTGGGTGCAGGCCAGCCACGTCCCTGAGCGCAGACTCTGCAGCCCTTCTATTGGATTCTTTTGCAAATGTGCTCCCAATGTCTCCGACGATTTCCTTGAGGCCTGATAGGTACTCGATGCCTGCAGGCACACCACCATACCTGTCCCATCCCTGTGCATTGAAACATAGCCCGAGCCTTTCAAGCTTCGGCATCGCCCCTGCCTCAAAGGCCAGGTACGATATCCTGAAACATCCAACTGTAAAATGCTTGAGAGCAGGGAATCCTCTTCCACGGATGATGATCTTGTCTTTAGGAACTCCATGGATGTGCAAGTCGAGGCGGACAAGGGAGGGCAACTGTGAGAGAATCCCAACGTCATCCCCATACACATCCTGAACACTAAGCTCCAGGTCATACAGGCTATGGTGCTGGCCAATCCACCCAGGAATCCTCGAGAACCAGCGATCGTACATTGCATGAAAGCTCTGGAGATGAATGAATGAAGTTGGGACTGAACACCATGAATCTAAGCAGGCTCTGAGAGTGACAGGTAGGTAATCACTATGAATAAGTAGACATTTGAGGCTGCAAATGTTTCCAAGGGCGTGCACAAGTTCCCTACATTTTGCAGCAAACTTGTCTCTATTGGTGGATGTGTAGTCAGAATATCCGATTTCAACATTTGTCAGATTTGTCAGTTCTCTCAGACCCTTGATATTGTCTAGTGAGTTTCTCAAATCAAAAAAACGTAGAGTACGCAATGATTTCATGTTACTGATCCCACTAGGAAATATTACTTTGCCTGGAACAATTAGATGCCATAAACGGCTCAAATGGACAATATCTGATGGTAGCTGCAGATCTGATTGTCCTTTTATTTCAAATGTTTTCGATTCTTTTGCAGACGTCCAATTTTACTAGGCAACACCACATGACGACCACTTGCTATGATCTTTAAGAATCCCAGTTGAAACAAATGACATATTCCATTCAAGTCAAGTAACTCAGATGAATAGGGCCCACTTGAAATTTCAATCGTCAAAACTCGGAGATGCTTGAACTGTAAAATAGGAGGTAGATATAAAGAGGTACCAAATCTTGCTAGCATTCGTGTTTGGGATAGCTGGAAGGATCTTCCTACTGTTTCATCTATTGCACCATCCAAACCGAGTGAGAGAGTCGACGGATCTTTGCGTGCTGTCTTGTCAAATCTTGTATATCATCCATTACGTTGATAAAATTGTCTTCTCGGATTTATATAGGATAAGATCAAGCATCATGTCATGAACCCCGCAAGACATCACCTCACCATTGTAGTCTCAGATCTACGGGCTGAATCAAACTCCTATTGATAAGCTCATTAAAATAGCTCTTTGCAATATCCTCTGGATCATCCCACGACCTTCACATATAAAACCTTCACTTATCCATTGTCTAACCAAATCATTCTTATTGATTGTGTAGTCCTCTGGATAAATGCCTAGATATAGCATACAAGCCTTCAAATAATGAGGAAGGTTTATGTAGCTGAGGTTTAATATTTGTCTCATGCCATCCAAGCTTTGGCTCACTTCAAAGTTGGACCCTAGAGATTTTGTATGCATACTCCCACCAGTCCTTCAGTTTACTTTCTTGATTGGCTAAAAGGCTAGATATTGTGATAAGCTGCAAGAGGTAAACCGCCACATTTTTTCAAAATTCCTGCTGAGACTTCTTTCAAATTAGGCGGGCAAGCATCCTCTGAACCAAATATCCTTTTGAACAATAACCTTCTTGAGCCTTGTTCATTAAGTGGTTTCATCTTATAAACATATTCATAGCAATTAGTGCAGCAAGCTCTAGCGACAGTCTCGATTCGTGTAGTTGTGATTACTCTGCTTCCATTCATGCTCTCTGGAAGACCACATCTTATAATATCCCATGAAGGAGCATCCCATATGTCATCAATTACAATGAAGTACCTGCCATGTAAATACAACAACATTAGCACAATGTATGTGAAAATATCCTCACTAAATTTTAAAACATCAACAAGAAGAAAACTCAATCAATCAAACTTCAAATGTGGTTATGCTACCAGGGCTAAAACTTCAAAACAACCCCTATGGTGCAGAAGTTGAGCAAAAGGTAGCTCATGGGCCTTGCTGTTTTGTGAAGGTACTTTTTGTCAATACTGAATCTTACTTAGGTACTAATGAGATCTGCAATTCTAGTTTGACGAACATGACTGCAGAATAGAAATCAAAAGACATTCAACATCTTCGGATAATAGTTGTAAAACTTTGTTTACTGGGTTTCTCTGGCTTTTGCATATGTTAATAAATGTCTCACAGGTTATGATGAAATAGAAATACATTGAATAATAAATCATTACTCGATGTGTGTGAGTGATAGTTAGTTATTATATACTGAAATCTGTAGGATCGATCAATGGATACAACATGGATGTCATTACCTAGTTAACCAAAAGTGAACAAGGTATAAACCAAGAAGAAAAAACAAACACATAAAAATTTCACTTGCAGGACACGCTAGAAAGCTAAAACTGAATCGCTTCAAAATCATGAAAAGTTACTTAGCATTTGTTTTCATTGCTGGCATACCTCTTATCCAAAAGAAAATTTTGCAGCGTCCTAATCAATTCGGACTCTTCCCACATTTCCATGTTGGTGTTCATAGGAGGTTTAAAGCCAACTTGAGATAGTATAGTCCTTAGTACCTTCCTAATATTTGGTTTTTGGGACACAGAAACAAAAGCTTGACACAGGAACAAGCCCTCTTGCTTGCGATAAATCTCATTTGCAAGGGTAGTTTTTCCAAGACCTCCAAATCCGACAATAGAGAGCACCTTTAGCTTATGTGAAGCAGGCACACTCTCTTCCTCCATCAATTTTATCAGTTGGTCCCTGGGCTCCTCAATACCAACAAGGCTGGCTGACTCTGCATGGAGTGCCAAAACACGAGAATCGACGACTGTGTTGTTTGGCTTGGAAACAGTTTCATCGACCTTGTACCTCATGCGTCGCTCGTTCACCTCCATGACACGACTCCTGAGGCCTTCCAGCTCCTTCGCAATCTGATGCCGAATGTTCATGGTTGTCAGCAGGCTCATGCTTCTATCCATGAACCCCTTGAATCCACGCGGCATGCTGCTGTACTTGCGCTCGACGCGATGCAGGAACTCATTGATACTGTCATCTATATCGTAGGAGAGTTCACGTACCTCCTTCACCCAGCACTTGTCTTGCTCGTCAGGTTCTTCCATGTCTGACATCTTCTTCAGGAACGCGTGCATGCTCTCTAGCTCAGCTTTAAGGAACATGATCTGTCCCTTAGCTTCTTTGAGCAGCTTGTACTCAGATGTGATCAAATCACCAAGCTTCGCTATCAGGGAGCCCAAAGCACCATGAGAAGCGCTGACCACGGCAGCCTCCATCGATCCCCTGGCCTTTCCTTTCTTGTGCTCAGCACTCTGAATCTGAAGTTGGCGATGTGAGGTTTTCTCAATTTTACTCCTGAATCAAACATATCGACAGATTCAGATGCTCTGTTTTCATAAATAAAAACTAGTTTATTACTCAACCTGGAAGATTGATCATAAGTTTTTTTTTTTAACAATCTGCACTTTTATTTGGAGAAGAAACATAAACAAAAAACTGCCAGAGAAGAGAGCGAGATTCGCTGAGGTCACTCGCCACTACAGCGGAGCCACCACTATTGTCTCTGCTTTCTTAGTTTGACAGTACGTATCCAGCTTCATTTGAAAAGCTTTGTGAGGTAGGGTCAGTCCTCAAGCTGCAAGAAAACCGTCCGCGAGCTTTGTCAGGCAGCTGTGAGATGTGGAACCACAATGAGAAGATTGCAATTTTCAGTCAACTCTGAGATCTAGTGTGTTCGAACTTCAACAAAATAAACCAAATGGAAACCAACGTACGTACGTACCAAGTTTTTCTGAGAAGTGAAAAAAAGACGGGTGATGGAGCAACACGCCGTCGCTGATTGTGTGCTGCTCCGAGTCACCGAGTGATTGTGTGGTTCCCCAACGGCAGACAGATGAAGAGGGAGAAGCAGAGAGAAGTGTCCCTGGACCTGGCCGATGGAGTTTTTCTTTATCACGATTTACGAGTGACAGTTCTAGACTTCTAGTTATCAATATGGACTTGTATCTCCACTTCTTTTTTAGAGTGTGCAGTTTTCTTTGGAGGGCAAATCGAATCAACTGTGAGAGCAGAGAGAGTGATATTCATACCGTACACACCAGGAGACACTGAACTGAATGGTAAGGTGGTGGTTGCTGTGGGAGCCAAGTTTTTGTTCCAACGCAACTGAAAGCAATCGCGGAGGCGCAGGAGATTCAGAGGAAGACGATGGGATTGCAGGCACTGATGGGAAATTATGGGGCCAAAGGCTGCGGTGCGAGGGAACAAATGAACAAGAGGATTTTGTCCTTTGTTTCCTCAGCTCGATCTGCAAAGTTCAGGGTTTCAGATTAACAGAATTGCACAAACCCCTCTGTTACTTCAGGGTTTCTTCAGATGCTGAAAACCACACAAACTCAAGGGGTCTATTGCAATTTTTTGTTTCCTTTATTATTTGCATGCTTGTCCTTATTTGCAACGGAGGCTGGGATACAGCACAAAAGGATCGAGCTGAACCTGCTATTGGGCGTCCACATAATTAAATCTTTGTAAGTTGTAACCAATGAGTGACCAGCTAGATCGAGGACATACAATGAGTGAACACTTTCTAATAAGAAAACAAGTTTTACAAAAGTTTTTATTAATTGTATTATTGATCAACCTGCATGCCAACACACACCAACAGTTGTTTAATGATCTAAAGACCACTTCTAACGATGCTTCGTTGGGTGTTTCAGGTCTTGCGCTGCTTTCAAATTACTTGGATCCCATGTGGCCAGGCCATACATGCATGTGTGTACCTGTTGCTTGTTGCTTCACACGTGATAAAATGTGACCATATGCTGGAGACGGTGGTGCCAGCTGATGAACGCAGAGAGACTGCAAAGATGCTTCAACATCGACACCACCCGTGTGGGTATGAGTCCTGCCCACTAATATTGACGTTAGTTATTAACATGGTAAGAGAGTATACACACAAAAAAAACGGGGGTAGCTAGGAAACAATACTAATTAATTAAATATGACGTACCGAAGTAATAATATTAATTAAATATGATATATGTATAACAGCTGGAGTAAACATAAGGTAAAAAGACTCTGTAGTCTGTACCTGGCCTAGGCACTGCTACTATTCCCGTCCTCTTCTTCCGGGGGCTCATCGTCGTTGCCATCAAATAAACAACTCCACCCGTCCATCAGTTTGATGTTGGATACAGGGTGACCTGGGTGCAGGCCAGCCACGTCCCTGAGCGCAGACTCTGCAGCCCTTCTATCACTGCTGGATTCAGGTTGGTCAAATTGCACTCGGCAAAGCCTTTGTCGAGTGCGGCACTCGGCAAAGAACACACGGTAAAAATTTGATCGGCAAAGTCCTCTTTGCCGAGTGTCTTTTATCGGGCACTCGGCAAAGAAAAGCGACCGTCACGGCGCCGGCCCCGTTGACGGTCGCTTTGCCGAGTGCCAACCCTGCAGGCACTCGGCAAAGATTTTTTATATATTTTTTTTAAAAAAAATTCTTTGCCGAGTGCCCTCTATCCGGCCCTCGGCAAAGATGTTTTATTTTTTTTTTCTAAAAATTCTTTGTCGAGTGCCCCCTGGCCGGCGCTCGGCAAAATTTGGATTTTTTTTAAAAAAATTCTTTGTCGAGTGCCCTCTGGCCGGCACTCAGCAAAGTTTGATTTTTTTTAAAAAAATCTTTGCCGAGTACCATGGTCATGGCACTCGGCAACGGGGTCCTTTGCCGAGTGCAACACTCGGCAAAGTGACCTAAAACGGTAATTTTTAATTTTTTTTACATTCCATCATGACAAATAAATTCATACAAACATATATCACATATATATCTCATCCATCTGCACATATCACATCCATCACAATATATATCACATATATAATAATAAGTGCTCAAGTTCATCCAAATAAATCTACGAGGTGACATATATATGCATATACGTGGCAAACCAACCACTAGCTGACATATAGCACTGTAAATTGTATTTTTGATATATTAGTGCTCACGAAAAAAGAATATATGCGATAAACATATGAGATACATATGCAAGAGACCAGGTCCACTTAATTCGAAAGGGTAATAAATGGTAGCAAAATGTACCAATAACAACATGATCACCCCATGAGTCCAAATGAGTCCAATGGCTGATTAGATACACACACGACTTGAATCTCAAACGAAATAAAATGTTTTGAAAAACCAGTTACAACCAGTAGACTGAACTAGCTACATTATATATTGCCAATTCTGCACTTGAAATGATCCTAGAATAAAATCGCACATACAAAAGAAACCATACTTGATGCGCCACAAAGAGACAATGGATCCATTAATCGATAGCCATATATAGGGCCCAACATCACTCAGTCAATACCTGAAAAAGTTTGATCGCACAAAATAAGCTTAGAGAAACGTTACATAAGGAGAAACAAAAAGTTTCAGTTACTCTACATGGAAACTTCAAATAAAATAATAGGATTCTAAGGATGGGCAATTGATGACCAGCAGCATGAAGTTATAATCTGAAAAAGTTCTACAAATATGGAGTCAATTGGATATTATGATTAGTAGTTTGGGAGAGTTTTCTAGTTATGTCAATTAGCAATTTCTAATGCATCTGCAGAAATTTGATTATTCTTTAAAGCCAACAATCAGTTAAACGTGTCTGTGCAAAATCACGATCTTAACCAAGAAGTACGTATCCATCTTTCTTGAGCAAAACATCTTCATTACAGCTCAAGCATAGCCATTTGCTACATGGACCGGCAGAACAGCTTCTGTCACCTTCAAACGAGCAGCCAAACGAAACAGACGCAGCTTGCAGCGATGGCATGCTTTCAAGCACAGGAGGCAGACCATCACAGCCATCTATTTTGAGCGAAGTGAGACTCGGGGCAGAGATACGATTGTGGTTATCGTTATGCCGGCCATTGACAACATCACGAAAACGGCACTTCACCATGCTCAACCGTTTCACAGATGGTGGGCACCTAATCTCATAGACGCCGATTTTGCATATGGAGAACTCGACATTCTCCAGCGCAAAGCAGCTCGAAAGATCCAGAGCAGTATGGCTCTCGAAGTACACACGCTCAAGACGCAGCACCTCCAAGAACATGGAAACGAGAGGGCAGCTCTCGAACACAGTGGTGTACCTGACGTCCAGCACACGAGCCTGCAGCAGCAGCGCGTGCCGGATCCAGAGCTCGGCGTAATTGCGGTTGGCCTCCTTGCATCCACGGAGGTCGAGCTCGCAGTGGTCCATGGTGGATCTCGGGTCACGCAGTAGCAGCACGCGGTTGACGAACATGTGCTGCTTCTCGGCGCTCCAGAGCGGTTTGACGGTGACGCGGAGGCGGTGCATCGACCGCCAGAGGTGGCGCCAGCGGGTGCCGAGAACAGACGTCCGCACCGCGTCCTGCGCTGGCACGAAGCCCAGCACGTGCTGGAGGAGGACGGCGCACGGGGAGGGGAGGCCGGCTCGCGGCGCGGGGGTGGGCCGGGGTTGGCGGGCGGCGGCGCGGGGACGGCCGAGAGCGGCGCGCGCAGGGGCTGTCTGTCTGTGTGGCTTGGACTGCCCGGCCGAATTCGCCTAACTGCCCCCACCCGTCCCTTTGCCGAGCGCCGTATCAGTGTGGCAGTCGGCAAAGGAGGCAACTTTGCCGAGTGCCCCGATCCGGCCGTCGGCATAGATTTTTTTTTTGAAATAGCTTTGCCGAGTGAAGGCACTCGGTAAAGAGGAAATTTCTAAAAAAAATTCAAAAAACCCCTTTGTCGAGTGCCATGCCCCAGCGCTCGGCAAAGTTATTTTTTTACCTCCAAATTTTTTATGTAGCCCTTTTTAAGTACCAGGAACTCCTCGTTAGAATTTGGGGATTTTTTTGTGGCTTTTTGATATATTTAGTTACTTTATTTCATTTACTTGAATTTTTTTGAAAAATATAAATTTGAACTGCACGTGGTACGAATAATGGAATTTAATGATTCAAAAAATGATAGTCATGTTACTGAGTGTAGTGTGAAGCCGTATCCAGGAACAGACCCGAAATTTCGGACATCTTGTTCACGAAACATGACCGCGAACTTGCATGCGAAGTGGTTCTAAATTCTACAAAAAGCAAACGAAGTCCGAAAATCATGAAACTTGTTGAGATGTCATGATATCGTATGTGGAGGCTATGATAAAAATTTTGGAAGATTTCGTGCACGTTGTCACGTACGATGCTTACAAACCAGGACATCTCTACATGTGTCACATCCATCACACGTAGAGATGTCCTGGTTTGTAAGCATCGTACGTGACAACGTGCACGAAATCTTCTGAAATTTTTATCATAGCCTACATATACGATATCACGAGTGCAACACTAGTATAGAAACAAGCTGTACTCCCGGTTGGGAAACCCCTTCAGTCCCAGTTTCCCAACCGGGAGCACGAATCCGAGACTAAAGGCCCCTCTTTTAGTCCCGGTTTCTCTTCCGGGGCTAAAGGTCCCGGTTGGTAATACCAACCAGGGCTAAAGAGGCCTCCCGGCCTGACCACGTGGGCCGGCCCTTTAGTTCCGGTACTAAAGGTTTTCTTTTTTTTTTTTCTATTTTCAATTATTCGTTTTGGGGTTTTCTTTGGTTTTCTTTTTTTTTCTTTTTTTTTGTTTCTATTTTCAATTGTTCGTTTTGGTGCTAATAATATACGTATTCTACACGTTAATAATGTTCAAACAGTTTACCACATGTTTATAATTTTCGAACAGTTTACCTTTAGTCAAGGATGCAGTTGTACGATCTTATATAACAGATCCTGCTCAAGTAAGGTCGTGCTGTATGGCTCCAGAGTTGAGCTTTTAAGTTAGCTTTCACTCTTTTGAGCAAGCGAGGTGGTGCTAATAGGTGGGACTGGCCAGCAATTCCAACATATTGCGTACTGGGTTTCAGGTCGAGCCGGCCCATCGATGCTGCATTAGCTTTACCTCTGTTGATGCCTCACCTGCTCGATCAGCTGATTCCTAGTAGATGATTTGTACTTACACTCCACAGAGCTCAATCTTTCATCCTCCCAAAGTGCTAGCTCGGAGTACTACTACCATGCCTTTTTTAGGCCAAACACGCGATGCGGAAGGTTGGGGATTCGAGCGCCGGTGGCCACGAAGCTCTCGTTTTTCGCGCGAAAAATTGTGTGACGTGTGGCTATCCAGTGGGTCCCTCCTAGTATTTAAAAAATGCCTATTTTTTGATTCGTTTTTTTAGGTTTTCTGGAAACCAAATCACTGCCGCTTCTAAAACTAGTACTGATGAGCCCCCTCATCACTGCCAATATGATTGTGCCGGTTCAAAAAACCAGCATTGATGGGCTTTTTGAACCGGCAGTGATTGGAAATCTGTCGTAGTTATGTAGGTTTGGGCGGTTGAGTTATAATAGATTTAGGTTTTCCTATAGGAAAAATAGTAATAGGTTCTAGAAAAACATACAAAATTCCTGGGGAACATTAGTTGATGACTAAATGCATCTAAAACATTTTGGCACTCATAAAGCAGAAGATGCACCTAGCATGAATGCAACAAACTTACCTTAGGATATATAGTTAATTTGGGATAGTACTTGAAAGCCATTCTTTTTTAGATAAAGGTGAATTAATTTGACTTCATCTCCTTTAACCAGGACAATGAGACCAATTTTACATATGTTGAGCAACACATTTAATCAAACCCACTCAAATATCACTAGCCATGATGTCCAACGAATGACTGGACCACCCGTCAATAACAATGTCTTATTTGATCTACCCGTTTGTTTGTGCCAATCATGAAAGATATCCATCACATTCAAAGGGTATTTGAGACCCAAAACAAGATGAATCCTTCGCCACAGGTACCGAGCATACAGACACTCGAATAAGAGGTGTTGAATAGTTTCATCACTACTACAAGACACACAAGATTTGTTCCTATTCTAGTTCCTCTTTAATTAATAAATTATGTATAGTTAAAATCACCCCCTCTTGACGAACCATAGAAATTTTGTAATTTTCAGTGGTATACTTAAACGCCAAATATCATGTGAGACTTTAATGCATGTATTCACAAGGAGTTTATAAATGAAATTTATTGTGAACTCGATACTATTTTTCAGGAGCCAAAGGAACCTATCTCATCCAACTTTGTAAGCTAATGTTCATGACTCTTGCTACTAAGTGAGCGCTTGGTATAGCTTCTGAAACAGCTCTGGGAGCTCCATATCAGCCAACCGCTCTCCCACACAACTGCTTTCATGTGCGGAGTCCTAGGAATAACGCTCACTGGAGCTGTTTTTTGAAAAGTGATTGGAATGAGTTGTTGTATTCCATATTGTGTATGGGTACATATATAGGCAGTCGGGGTAGCATGCAAGCCAACCACACAAGCGCACAAGTACAAGGCGACCACTGCTATATTTACATCATGCTAATACTCCCCCGCAGTCTTATCGGGAGCACGGTGAACGTTAAGATTGGATCAAAACTCTTGAAATACAGATGTTGGGAGACCCTTGGTGAAGATATCGGCGTACTAGGATGTCGTGGGGACATGGAGAACTCGAACATGACTGAGGGCGACACGCTCCCGAACAAAGTGGAGATCAATCTCAACGTGATTCGTGCGCTGATGCTGGACCGGATTGGTGGAGAGGTAGACAGCGCTGACGTTGTGGCAATAAACCAGGGTGGCACGACGAAGATGGTGGCGAAGCTCGGCAAGTAACTGATGAAGTCATGTAGCTTCAGCGACACGATTGGCCACGGCTCGATACTCGGCCTCTGTGCTAGACCGGGAGACTATGTGTTGATGCTTGGAAGACTGGGACACCAGATTGTCATCGAGGAACACTGCGTAGCCAGAGGTCGAACAGCGCGTGTTGAGGGAGCCGGCCCAGTCCGCATCAGTGTAAACAACAAGCTTTGTAGGTGGAGAGTGATGTAGAGTCAAGCCAAGTTAAAGAGTACCCTATAAGTACCGTAGTATCTGCTTGAGAGACATGCTGTCTGGAAAGATAGACCTGCTGATGAAGAAGCTCGTAGACCGAGCCAATGAGAAGCAAGAAGTTATGCACATTCATGATTTCTGCATGACGTGTGAAGAGTGTGGAAACACTGGGCATTCAGGGAACAACTATCCTGAAACCCAAGAGGACGTGAACTTTGTCAATAACAACTACTTTCGTCCTCAACAGAATCAAGGATGGAATCAGCAACAGAGACCAAACTTCCAAGGTAATTACCAAGGTAACTCTTAAGGTAATAATTATAATTTGGTGTTTGTCTTCAGCTTTTGTCTTCTTTGTGCAAGAGTGGCCTTGTATGTTTTCTTCCTAGTTTTGTCCTCTATGCATGTCTTGGGTGTACGTCTGTTTTGAAATCCGCAGTTTGCCACATTTTAAATGATAAGTTCAGGCCGGCGATCGTCTGTCATAGTTGCTCTAAAAAAAATTGGCTAGTTTACGTCAATGTCCCTGTCAATCCTCTTGGCTTGGTTTTCCAAAGCAATTGTAATCCATGGTTCGCCATGATTAATCATTTCCAATTTATTATATGCTACTCAGTTAGGTGCAAGGCATTATTATGAGTACACACAAACTAGGTTCCTATGGTCCCTGATACCTCCCAATGCAATAGTGCAAACTACAAAAAGAGCAACTAGAAAACACCTCGACAAACGCAGGTGGCGGCTGCTTTCCACATGTGGGCCTGGAAGGCCACACAAGGCCCAACGTGCGACCGGGCTCCCCTCCAACTCCAAAGCCCTTGTAGGCTCAAACCAGTTCTCAACTCCAACGTTGCAGCCCCGCCCACGGATCCGCCCGCCGGCACGTACAACGGCAACCAGGCAACTGGATGGCGCCGGGATCCCGACGTCGCCGTCAGGGGATCACCGAGGCCCAGGGACGTTCAGGGCAGGCGGCTACACGTACGTTCTGTGTGATTGCATTGCATCCGCGGGCGGGCGGCTAATCGTGCTTTGTTTTGCAGTGTCGGGCGGTGGACCGGTGGACAGGTTCCGTTTCTCCCTCCTGCAGATTGCGAGCGGCGGCGGCGCCGTTTCGTTCCTTTCTTTCTTCTTCCACGGGATAGAATCGATCGATCGGCGCCGCCCGAATCTACTAACTACGGCGACCCAGCGCCGGCCGGCAGGGCGTAGTTGGATGGAATGTGGACACTTCACATGTCACATGTTGTTGCGTGATGCCAATTTTCTTTTGATTTATTTATTGTGACTTCCTCACATAATGTGAGTCACATTTGGTCTTCTGCTGAACTGAATACTGGTGGAGAGTTTAAGCTGCTGCAGGCTAGGAGGCTCTGGAGCTGGAATCCCTTTGCTGAATAAATTGTTGGTGCATGTGCATTGCATCAGACCCGCTGGTAAAATAGTTCATGACAAATGCAACCCTTTTGTATGTTCCTTGATTCGCTGCATAAATGAACTCTGTTTATGCTTTCATGAATCAACTCTGCATAAATTATTGTAATTGAGGTTGTTATATCAGTAGCAATCTCATCTGTTTCATTTTAACACCTCTCTGTAGTTTTTTAACCTTCCTATTTCGCTACTGAAATTATTCCAGGATAGCAAAATACCGACATCATTCATCTTGTGCTAGTACCACAAATAGCTGAAACAATAGTTGGCAGATTCAACCATTCAGTCATTGATTCACTGCATTGTGCTCATTAGCCGTGCAGGTACACAAACTGCAGTAGTATCTTAAAATCATCCTGGTATAACCTGAAAGTGTTGCAAGCTGTTCTTGACGAACTAGCTCAGTTTCTTTATAGATTTTTCCGGTAATGCTGGGTATAGGGCGTCCGTCCGCCCGGACGGTGCCGATGGTGGGCCATGACACAGCCCAACGAACGCTCATCCACATGCCCTCGCCCTCAACCGTTCTAAAAAAAAGAAAAAAAAACCTTCTTATCCCCTTCCGCTCCCTTCTTTCCACCACAACGCCTGGACGGTGCTGGTGGCGGGCGGACGGGTGCTCCAGTCAACCGCCCCCCCCCACCCAAAAAAAAAAATTTGTTGCGAGCTCCATCACTAATGTGGCAGAAAACAAAAGTTTTAGCAGTAAGACAGTAGCAGCAGAAGGAACATGTTTCTGCTCTTGTCTCAGCTCGTTAATTTCGGACACTTTGTATGCATGAAGAAATGTTTTGCCGACCAGTAATCAGGACATCAATATCATTGACAGCCCTTGCCTTCGTTACAGGATTTTCTGCTTTCAACACCGAGCTGCATGGACTTCATGTTGACCTTTGTATTTCTCGTCTTGGTTGTTTGAGACTTGCTATTTCTGATTGGTACATGAATATGCAACACGCTGTAATGAAGAGATGCTGTTGGGTTGTCGGTACTGGCTTATTGTTCTTGCCTTGTTGGCTCATTTGTCTAAAAAAAAAAGAAAAAAAACCTTCTTATCCCTTCCGCTCCCTTCTCTCCACCACAACGCCTTGCGGCTGCCACTCCGTTCGTCCTTCGTCCTGAACACGGATGCCACTCTGCCTCACTGCTGCTGCACGCCCCATCTGAGCCGCTCGTTCGCCCCTGCTGCGGGCGCTTCTTGCCCCTTCCCATCGTGCTCGCTCTGGTGATGGTGGTGCTCGCTCGCCCCGCCGATGAGCCAAGACCGACGCTGGTGGTTGTGGTGTGCGCGCGCGCCACTGGTGCTAGTGCACCCACCCGGTAGAGCCAAGCCTGCTGCTGGTGGCGGTGGGGCTCGCACGCCGCTGCTCACTGCCGGCTTCGACCCCGGCGGCTGGAATCGACCAACGTCGGCCTTCCCCTCCACTATGTTGAATATGTATGTTTCAATTGTTTTCGACGTTTCAGATGTATGATGCAGTTGTTCCATTTTGATGTTGCAAAAGTAGATCGGGGGATATTGCACATGTTGCATATGCTGCAGTGTTTCAGATGCATGCTGCAAGCATTTGTTCAAAATGTTTCATCTATTTCCAGACGTATGTTGCAATTGTTTTTTATCTGGATGTTGCATATATTTCACACAAATGTTGCAACAGTATGTTCCAAAATGTTTCAGCTGTTTCAGTCCTATGTTGCAGCAGGTGGTTTCATGTTGCAAGTTGCAAGTGTTATTTTTTTTATGTTTTATGTGTTCCACACATATGTTGCAAGTGTAAGTTCCAAGTGTTTCATCTGTTTTCAGACGTATGTTGCATTCAAATTTTTTTCATGTTGCAAGTGTTTTATGTTGTTCGCCGAGGCGAGCTGTGGGTTAAGCGGACCATGCTGCATGGCAGGCTACGGGAGGGGGTGGGGCTGGGGCGGGCGGACGGGTGCTCCGGTCTGGGGCACGCCGTGTCCTGGCTCTCGAGTGCTGCCCGCGCGGAGAGAGAGGAACGGGTCTGGGGAATGACCGGCGGGCGCAGATACGGGGGCGGAGTGCGCGCGTGGGGCAGGGTGAAGCCGGACAAGGGTGGGGCGACTGCGGACTGGGGCGGGCTGCACTGGACGTCCGGGCGCTAGCCACGCCATAGAATTTTGTATGTTAGCTTTTCTTACCGAGTTTGTAGTGCAATTTCTTTGATTCCTTATAAATTCTTTCCTCATGAGTTGGTACTTTGGTAAATTACTTCTGATTGATGTTGTTTTTATGAGAAATTAAGATGTTGTGCTACTTTCTTATACCAAATTTCCTAATTCGTATGTATTTTACAAAAAATCTCTGATTCTTAATCTCTTAACTGGAATGGAACAAAGACAAGACAAGGAACAACAAGAATATCCATCTTTTGTGTTTGGGGGAGTTAAATTCCTTGAACGAGATTCAGCATTGCAAACTTAACCAAACCCCCCCTCCCCAAAAAAAAAAAAATGTTGCGAGCTCCATGTTTCTGCTCTTATATAGAAGACAAAAATATATAGAAGACAATGTTTCCAAAAAAATATAGAAGACAATGTTTCTAAAAAAATGTGGCAGAACACAAAAGTTTTAGCAGTAAGACAGTAGCAGCAGAACGAACATGTTTCTGCTCTTGTCTCAGCTCGTTAATTTCCTTCCTCATGTGTATTGTAGGGGATGTTGCGGACACTTTGTATGCATGAAGAAATATTTTGCCGACCAGTAATCAGGACATCAATATCATTGACAGCCCTTGCCTTCGTTACAGGATTTTCTGCTTTCAACACCGAGCTGCATGGACTTCATGTTGACCTTTGTATTTCTCGTCTTGGGCCTTGTTCGCTGGGAGGAATTTGAAGGAATATGTAGGAATTTGTGAGAGAGTGAACAGTGAATTCCGGCTGAAATTCACACTAGCCGAACGGCCCCATGGTTGTTTGAGACTTGCTATTTCTGATTGGTACATGAATATGCAACACGCTGTAATGAAGAGATGCTGTTGGTTTGTCGGTACTGGCTTATTGTTCTTGCCTTGTTGGCTCATTATTTGTCTGTACTAATTCCCAGTGTATAATGGATGCTACATGTACGGCCGAGTTCTTCACTCAAAATTATGAAATTTACCAAAACTCAAACCTACTATATAATGTACTCTTTCTGTAATGTAAGTAGTTATAGCTAGCTCTCCTGGTCTTGCTTGCTTTTGATAAATTGGGGTTTATTTGCTTCAGTTACGTTGGAGATCGAGAAGCTAGCTTTGAAGACTTGCGGTTTTCTTTGTCTTTGATGACTCCAATCCTGGTGCATATGCATGTATTACTCAGCAATCAGTCAGCCAGATGGTCGTGAGTCGTGATGAGCTTCCAGCTGATTTCTGTGCTTGACCTGTTACTTAATAGGGAACAGTAGTGTATTAGTGATGATATGATTTTTTTTTCAAATATATAGCAGAGTATACTTAGCACAAAACGCGGACAGCCGGCCAGGGGAAAACCAGGAGACGCTTGCACGCCTTGGCCCGGTGCTGCGTGCTGTGGCAGTGGAAGTAGCGCGACCGGAAGGAGCGGTCTGCCTTGACGTGGTCTCCGTCGAGGCAGTCGAAGCAGAACCCCACACAAGAGCCGGCAGAACCGGGCGGCGTGGCTTGGGCGAGAGTGAAGCCATCCTTTTCGATAGGCGCACCCTCACGAGGAACATGCAGGCGGGGGGACGAGGCCGACACCCTGGCCGCCGACGCGGAGGGGTGGCAGCGGCGATCCCCCACCTGGGGAACTTGGGGACGACATCCTAAGAAGATCGACGCGGAGGAGCTGCTGTGGGAGAGGGGGGGAAGGTGGATGGCAGAGCCGAAGGGGCAGCTGGCGTTGTCTGGGAGGTGGACGGCGATGCCGGAGTGACCACCGGCGTTTTGGAAGGTGGACGCCAGGGCCGGAGTGGCCACCGGCGGGACTAGCGGGGGGAGCGGATGGCTTCTTAGGAGAATTTCCTCTTCACCTGACTATATATGTTTTGCTGACTTGCCCTGCACGCCTTGTTGGTGCATTTTGCTATAATGGATGCTACATTGTAACGGCCGGCACTTCACTCAAATGTACGAAATTCACCAAAACTCGAATCTATCTACCATGTTAGTTGATTGATGGTAACTCTTTCTGCAAACTGAGTAATCACCAAAGGTCGGCTGGTTTTGCTTGCTTTGAAGACTTGTGGTTTTCTTTGTCTTTGATGACTCGAATGTGATCATGTCTTTGATACTGGTGCATGTATGTATATCTCAGCAGTCAGTCAGATTCCCGTGAGGTGCGACGAGCTTCCAGCTGATTTATGTGCCCCCAATACATACGTAGATTTCCCTGAGGCTTGACAGGTGCTCGGTTCCAGTAGGTGCAGCGCCATACCTATCCCACCCCCTGGCATTAAAACGTAGCTCGAGCTTAATTTCAAGCTTGGGCATTGCCCCTGCCACAAAGGCCAGGCATGATATCCTGCTACAGCTAAATTGAAAATGCTTCAGAACAGGGAATCCACTTCCATGGATGATGATCTTATCTTCAGGAGTTCCTTTGATGAACAACTCCAGGTTGATAACTGAGGGCAGTTGTGCAAGAATTCCAACATCTTCCTCAAGCACTTGCTTAACAAAAAGATGCAGGTCATAGAGGTTATGGAGTTGGATGATCCATCTCCAGGAACCCTTGAGAACTTGTGTCCATGGAATATCTGGAGATGAATGAAAGAAGCGGGTGTTGAACTCAACGCATCAATGTAGAGATTGTTGTGTCACAATAAATTTTCATATATAGTTATTTGAGGCTGCAAATCTTTCCAAGGCAAGTCTGCAGAACTTCCCTGCCTTTCTCCACTATCTCATCATTTGCCTTTTCACCAAAATTACATATGATTTTAAGATTGGTCAAATTGGTCAATTCCCCCAGACCCTTGATACTGTTTGGTGAGTTACGTAAATTGAAGTAGTGTAGAGTACGCAAGGATTTCATGTTACCGATCCCGTTTGGCAATATTATGTCATATGGAATAATCAGATGCGATAACCGGCTCAAATGAACTATATCCGATGGTAGTTCACGAAATGATTGTCCCTTAGACAATTTTATAGTAGCATTGATTTCAAATGTTTCCAATTGCTGCATACTCCCAATTTTACTAGGTAACACCACCTCATGACCTTTTGCTACAATCTTTAAATATCTCAACTGAAATAGATGATGTATCTCAGTAAAGTCTAGTAACAATGGTGGATAGGACTGTACTGTAATTTCAATTCCGAGAACACGGAGATACTTGAACAGTTGAAAAGGAGGTAAATATGAAGAGGTTCCAAATATTGCCAGTGTTCTTGTTTGGGATAGCTGGACACATCCTGCAACCCTATCACCTACTGTACCACCCAGGCTGAGAGAGAGTCGATGAATCTTGTCTTGTTGTCCTGTCATGTCTTGTATATCATCTATTACAGTGACAAAATTCTCTTCTTGGGATTTATGGAGGATAAGATCAAGCATCATATCATGTACCTTGCAAGACATCACCTCACCATTGCAGTTTGTATCTGCAGGCTGAATCAAACCCCTATTAATAAGCTCATTAAAATAGCTCTTTGCAATATCCTCAAGATCCATCCCACGAACTTTAGGGGGTGTTTGGTTCCAGGGACTAATTTTTAGTCCCTGTCACATCGGATGTTTGGACACTAATTTAGAGTACTAAATATATTCTAATTACAAAACTAATTACACAGATGGAGACTAATTTACGAGACGAATCTATTAAGCCTAATTAATCCACCATTAGAGTATATTTACTGTAGCACCACATTGTCAAATCATGCACTAATTAGGCTTAATAGATTCGTCTCGCAAATTAGTCTCCATCTATGTAATTAGTTTTGTAATTAAAATATATTTAATACTCCAAATTAGTGTCCAAACATCCGATGTGACAGGGACTAAAAAATAGTCCCTGGAACCAAACACCCCCTTACATATAAAACCTTCAGCTATCCATCGCCTTGTCAAATCATTCTTTTCAATTGTGTAGTCCTCGGGATAAATACCTAAATATAGCATGCAAGTCTTCAAATAATGAGGAAGATTTATATAGCTGAGATTCAGTATCTGTCTCATGCCTTCCAAGCTTGGGCTCATTTCAAAGTTGGAGCCCAGCCTGTCCCTTACATGTTCCCAGTTCTCCGTTAGTTTGCTTGGCTGACTGGCTATTAGGCTAGATGTTGTGATGATTGCAAGTGGTAAACCACCACATTTTTTCAAAATTTGAGCGCAGATACTTCCTTCAAATATGGAGGGCAACCATCCTCTGAACCAAAAATTCTTTTGAAGAATAAACTCCTTGAGTCCTGGTCACTAAGTGCCTTCATCTTGTAAACACATTCAATGTTCTTAGCGCAGCATCCTCTAGCCACAGTTTCAATTCGAGTAGTTATTAATACTCTGCTACCATTAATGCTCTCTGGAAGAGCACATCTGATGATATCCCATGCAAAAGCCTCCCAGATGTCATCAATTACGATTAAGTACCTGACATATATAAAAGCATATGGAGTATAGCAAACCATTAGGATAGCGTAAAAGCATCCTCACTATAAACATACATTAACCAGGATATAAGAATACAATAGGGACACACATAAACTAGTCAATCATAAGAAAACAAGGTGAAAAGAAAAAATACAGACAAATCAACATGTTTAGTTGTTGATTACATAATACTAGCATGCTAAATAAGAATGACATCAAATTAGAACAAACTAAATCCCAAACAAACCATACTAAGCATACAATTATTTCTAGGCCGCATACCTCTGTTTTAGAAGAAATTTTCGGAGCACACTAATGAATTCAGATTCTTTCCCACAATTCCATGTTGGTGTCCATAGGAGCTACAAAGCCAACTTGAGATAGCATAGTTCTCAGAAGCTTCCTGATGTTTGTTTTTTGGGACACAGACACAAAGGCTCGGCACTGAAACTCACCCTGAAGCTTGCAATAAACCTCATTTGCAAGGGTAGTTTTTCCTAGGCCTCCAAATCCAACTATAGAGAGCACCTTTAGCTCATTCTCTCCACCCATCAACTGAATTAGTTCATCCCTGGGGCCATCCATACCAACAAGGCCTGATGCTTCTGTGTACATTGCTAACAACCGAATATCAATGATTGTGTTGACTGACTTAGAGGTAACATCATCAGTCTTCTGGTACCTCTTGCGCCGCTCCTGCGCCTGCACAACACCGCTCCTGCGCCTGCACAACACGGACCTTAAGGCCTTCAAACTCTTTGGCGATGTCATGCCGAATGTTCATGGTCGTCAACAACTTCGTGCTCCTATTTATGAAACCCATGAATCCGCGTGGCTTGCTGCTTGAATTGGGTTCCACACGGAGCATGAACTCACTGATGCTATCTTCGATGTCATAAGACAGCTCACAAGACAGCTCCTATCTTTGAATTGGGTTCATCAGGCTGTTCTGTATCTGAGATCTCCTTTAGGAACCTATGCATGCTCTCAAGCTCAGCTTTGAGGAACAAGATCTGCCCCTTAGCTTCTTTGAGCAGCTTGTACTCAGCTATGAGCAAATCACCAAGCTTCGCTATCAGGGAGCCCATAGCTCCATGCGATGCGGTCACCACGGCAGCCTCCATAGATAACCTTGCCTTTCCTTTCTTTGCTGGCTCTCACTTTAATTTGACAGTGCGTGTGTAGTCTTATTTCTAGTCCTGAAAGAAAACAATGAAAGCAACATATTTAGATGTTTTTCTTTATCCATCACGAGTGACAATTCTAGTAGTCGATATTGACGACTTGTAGATCCGCTTTCTTTTTCTTCAGTGTGCCCAGATTCAATGAATTGAACAGAAGCTCCACTTGTTTTACAGGGTGCAGTTTTCTTTGGAGTGCAAACCGAATCAAGAATAAGAGGGAAGAGAGTGTGATCCATACCATATATACGGCGTACGAAGCCAGCAGGAGAGAGATCGAGAACGACAGGAATGTTGCTGTCCGGCCATGTTTTCCTTCAAACTGAAGCCAAACCTTGTTGGAGATGAGAAGTGGCAGGTACAGTAGTGAAGGCATGCAAGAGCGCCGGGCGGTGGAAGTGCAAGCTTGGGTGAAAGCAATGGCGAAGGGAGGGCAGGTGTGCCTGGAGTACTGAGTGCGTGGTTCCAAATGCTGGATCTGCAAATGAAGCTCAGGGTTTGATAGATCGAACTGCACAATGCAAACCCTCTGTAACTGCCCACAGTTTCTCAGAAAACCACCTCTTCAGTCGCAATATTTTCGGTTCCCTTTATTTGTATGCGAGTCCTTTGTATGGGGGACTAGGATACAATATACTAGGACAACGTACACAATACTGCACAAGACTCGTTTGGGACGAACGACAAGCAAGACGGCATACAATAATTGGGTGCTTCGTTGCGCGCTTCAGGTCTTGAGTTGCGATACCATGTGGCCATGCATCTGTCTCAAACGTTGTTTTGTGTTGCTTCCCACGTGATTACACGTGACCATAGGGAACAGAGGGATCTAATCGAGGCGGTGGCCCGGTTTAATTAATTGGATTATTTGAATTCTTGACATTATAATTTCTCAAGTTTTGAAGAACGCCATTACTATTCGTCTTATTGGAAATTTGCCATTGCTATTCTGGTTCTCCCTCTCTCTTGCCCTTTGCTACATCTGGAGCGTAGACAGGCCCACCTGCAGGCGCCGTATTTTGGTATTGGGCAGAAATGCCCCTGTACCAGACGATAAGGCAGCACGCCGCCGTTCTTCTCTATCGCCCCCGTTCTTCTCTCGCCTTCTTCCCCCTTCTCTGCCGCACACCCACGCCATCATCCCTTCTTCTCCCCTCATCCCTCCGACCAAACCCTAACCCCATCTCTTTCCGCGGTGAACCAGGCGTGAGCGGTGGCGGCGAATCGAGGAGTGGTTGGCGGTGGGATTGGAGGTGGTGGCGACGGAGACAAACCCTAACCTGCACATCTCGCTGCCGACGCTCGCGCCACCTGCCATTGCCGCAGATGAGTGGAAACCAGGTTAGTAGAGCCACGGTGGCCAGCTCCAGCTCGGGAGACTGGGGGATCAAGAGCCCACCGCTACCCCCACTCGTAGAGTGCCCGGATTACCGAATTCAGTTGGTACGAATCAGAACAACCAGCGTGCCACTTATGGCAAGACCTTCGTCAAGTGCCCAAATAACATCAAAGTAAGTCAATTTGCGTTCAATTTGGAGTTTCTTAGATGTTTTTCATGGGGTACCCTTTTTCATGCGGCTAGGGTTTTGTGGGATGCAGGGTGACCCAACAACATGTGGCATCATAATGTCCGAGGCACAGTACGTTGCATTCTTACGCAACCCAAAGCAGCATCAGCAGAATCGATCGAAGAAGGTGAGCCATTTGAGTTCAGGAGAAGGTGGACATGGGTCTATCGAGCTCATTTTCGACCTGAAGCTAGAACTCAATGAAATAAAGCAGAAACTTGATAGTGTTGTGGTTGATCTTTCGCTGGTGAAGGCGCAAGTTTAGAAGATCAAGATGGATTATGTTGTTATAGCAGCAGTCTGTGTAGGTGTAGCTGTTGGTTGTGTTATGAGCAAACTTTGGAAGTAGTGAATTGTATGCAATGTAGCTTCTGTTGGTCTTAGCTGTTGTAAGCTTTCATTATCTGTTGAATGTACCCGTGCCTGAACTTGATGAATGGAATCTGAAAGTTTTTCAAATAATTGGTCTCATACTTGTGCTCTGGTTTTAATCCAATTGGTCTCATAGTTATGCTCTGGTTTTAATCCAATTGGCCAAGTGAAAGAGAACCAAGTGACAGACTGTATAATATAACCCTAATATATAGCATCACATGACAACTGACAGACAGCATCCTTCTCTGAAGAAACATTGTATAGGGTAATATCTGTGTGCTAAGCACTGCATAGAGCATGACCCATTCATAGGTACATGATCACACATATGACAGCAAAAGCAACAGAAGCACTGCATAGAGCATGAATTCACAGGCATACTGACAATATTATTGATAGTAGCATTTCAAGCTTGTTCAAGTACTCAAGCATTACAGACATCACAAAAGGCCATCACAGGCATTACAGCTAACAGTACATCGATTTAGCTTGTTCTAGTACATCCAGTTCATCGATTCAAGTGTTACAGGCATTACAGCTAACAATACATCGAGTTCACAAAAGGCCATCACAGGCATTACAAAAGGCCATCACAACCATCACAGTCTCGCTGTCTAGCAGAGAGGAGGTCCATCAGGCTTCTCACAACCCTTGCTGGAGGAGCAGCATCATCCTTTTTCTGCTTCTTTTTCAGAGGTGTTTTTTTCTTCTTAGGGGTTTTCTTCTTCTTTGGTGCTCTATTCTTCTTCACCTTCGATGGTCTAGCAGTATCATCTTGTGGTCTCTTCCTGTGTACACACATATGACAGAAGATCAGTGAAATTAATGTTAACCTTTTATTCGATGAAAAGAATATAAATGACAGAAGATCAGTGAAATTCATGTTAACCTTTTATTTGTGCTAGCAGTCTCACCATCCTCTCCAACCATTTCAAGCTTGCAAGTCTTGGAGAAGTGGCCAAAATCTCCACACCTTTTACATCTAACTTTCTTCTTGTTGGCCATATTCTCTAGGCACCCTCTTTGCCTCACAACCTTTGGCCGACTTGTTGCTCTTCCTAGTAATGGTGGGAAAACCGTGTACCCAAGATCAACTTGTGGCCATTGGGATATGTCTGGCATTGGTTCTACTCTACCTTCATAGGCAGCTCTGAACTTAGCAACAGAGTAATAATCATGCACAAAGTCAGCTACCTACATACCTCTATTGGACAAGATACAAGCCAAGGCATGCTTGCATGGCTTCCCAGTTACCTGCCATTCCCTGCATGAACATCTCTGATTCTTAAGATCAGTTGTGTGCTGTTTATGGTTATTCCAGTCATCTAGCAGTGTTACCTCTGCAAATTCATCATCACTGACTTTAACCTTCACAACTTTTAGATTTTTGGTTATAAGGTTCAAGTCCTTCATGACACCAGGAAGGATTCCATCTCCCCATTTCTGTGCAATCTTCTTCCTTATGTACCTTTTCTCCATTATGATCTCTCTTATCCTGTCAACTAACTCATGGATATGTAGTCCTTTGAAGTCCTTGATCTGAGCATTGAAGCTCTCAGAGACATTATTAGTTAAATAATCACATTTACTCTCCTCAGAGAAGCCACATCGGTACCATATCCTAGGATGATGCTTCTGAAGGTAGTCAATAGCAGCTGGAGCAAACTCAAAGATTTTCTTCATGTGCCACCTAAACGTGCCTTCTGTGTAGTTCCTTGCAGCACGATACAAATGGTTAGTGAAAATATCCCCTGAGAAGTGTTTCATGAAGTTATTGTACATGTGCCTTGTGCACTCCCTGTTTTTAGCCTGTGGGAAAATAGCCCCCACAGCTGTCTCTAACCCTTTACAAGCATCACTACATATTACTAGTCCT